GCTCCTCAGCAGACTTGTTCTCCAGACCCCTCACCAGCCTCGTTGCCCTTCTCTGGACACGCTCCAGCACCTCAACGTCCTTCTTGTAGTGAGGGGCCCAAAACTGAACACAGTATTCGAGGTGAAACAGTCAATAACAAAGTTGATTGCTTTTGTCAGTATTAAAACCGCAGTATAACAACATCAGTATAAGAAGAGGGTGGAACAATTCCTATTAGCTGTGCCATGCTGCTAAAGGTTGCAATTCTGCAATGAAATCTTATGATTCTTAAAAAAAACCCAAACAAAAAGAGGTGCAGAGAATGTGGCTCATGGTAACTGAAGTGCCTTTTAAGGAAAGTGTGGGGGTCTTGCCCAGCACCACAGTGGTCCTGATGTAATTTTCTTTTTTATTCATTTATGAAGCCTGCTGTGGTATCTAATCTGAAAGGTTTTCCAGTGGTTTGTGTCCGCCCTACAAAGAAGAAATCATACAATAAAAGTTGTCCAGATTTTAAAGCAAGGCAAAGTTTATAGGAACATCTCTCTGAGTCACTCCCAAGTTCATAGAATCCACTTTAGATGGATATAAGGTATTATGAATTTAAGGTTTACCTTAAGATTGTATTAGTCTCTTGAAATTAGTGTAAGAATGCTACAAATTAATATTATTTTATAATACAAAATGCAAGAACATTTTAAGTTTTAAATTACTTAACATATGCTTTACAGTCATGTTACCTTATGTTTTCATTCTTTCTTAGGAAGGTAATACATTTTCCTTAAGAAAGCAGCTTTGCCATATTTAGAAAAAGAAATAAATATAAACTTGGTCAAATTGTTAGCAGAGCTGAACATTAGCAGAATGTTCTCTTGTTTCAGGCACGCTTTGGTTTTCTGTGTTTTGCAATGCAAAGTCAAACAATTGTGTTACCTAACTGAAACTTTCAAAGCAGTGCAGGGGATTGAGTTAACCTTTTAAAAATGCAAATTCCTTTCACTGCTTGTCAGCACCTCAGCGGAGGAGTTTTATGTGTGATTCTGCTAAATATCTGAGATGACATTTTTTCTAAAGGATTCTCCCAGGGTCCACCTTTATTTTATGGCTGTGGTGTTTAGTGATACAGCTTTTTGAGGTGATTTGTGATAAAGTGCAGATGACAGCAAACATCCAGCTACTTTGTTAGTGGGGAGACTTTGAAACACAGAAGCACCTTTTGTTGGCACAAGTATTTGCATCTGATACACAGTGGAGAAATTTTATTTGGAAGTTGCATCAATGTATCAGACAGTAGCTGATACAGCAATGAAAGATGATGTAGTTAATTTAGTAACTTTTCTATTATTTTACTCTTTCATAGAACAATTTATAAGGTGGAAAAGGTACAGTGTAGTCCATCTTCTTGTAAACATAACCAGTCCCAATTTTATTTTTTTCATCCCAAGGACAGACAGTAGCCTGTAAAAGTAGAAGTCCTGGATGGGAGATGGAGCTATGGAGAAGAAAAAAATCATCATAAAGCATCCAATACAGGGCTTTTGCATGTGTTTTCTCCTCACTGCAAACACCTTTGATGTCTGTTTTGGCTTCAGTTTGCCTAGACCTGAACCAGCAAAAAGCCATTCTAAAGTCTCTGTTCATTATTCTCTGAGAGTAAGATCAATCTGGCATAAAACTCTGTTGAAATTTTGTGGCCACAATTTTGTACATGGAATAACTGGGAAAAATATCGTAATACTAGCATACAATGGAAATTATTTTTTCCCTCATGGAAGCCTGTGGTCTTTATATTTAAGGATACTACTGTAGTTGAAGATAGCTGTTGGTAAGATATTGTTCAAGTTCGTTTGGTCAGTGCAGTACCTCTAAAGTTAATTCAAACTATTATACCATTGCCCTCTAATACAAGTGTAGACAATAACTGTTAGTTTGAAGATGAATACCTTTGAGAACTACTAATTTTTCAAAGAGCTGCAAATCTAATGAACTAAAATGGTTATAGCTCTCACAGGAACAGTTGTAGATCACTACCTACATCCCAAACGGCTATTTATTTTTGTTATTTTAATAGCGAGTGACACAAAATCATGACTGTGAGCAGCAAAATATGCACCAATGATTTTATATGTAATTTAATTTAATAAGATCTCTCCAGAGGTCTATTTTACAAGATAAAACACAAGAGAGCTCTTGAATGCTTGCCCTGTTTTAACATGAGGTGCGTAATTTCAATATGTTAAAAATACTCTATTGTAATTAGGACAGCTATAGGATCGTTAAATAAATTGCCATTTTTAGTTGCAGTAGTTATTTATTCACTGCCATCATGCACTTCTACTTGTCTACAAGTACAGAGTTGAAGCAGACTG